CAGTAGGAGATTAAACCTTCTCATCATAGGCAGTAGATGTTGCTAATTGACTGTATTGCTGACAGGAGAGCTTACTGCACAGGTAACATCTTGATTTATATCCATGAAGTCAGACTGTCCCATACTGCCTGGGGCTGACCAGTGCAGTTGGTCCCTGTCCTCCCATCAGAGCACAGGCTGCTTCTCCCAGGGCTTTTTGCATCTCCTCAGCACAAAGCCACCCACCTCCTCATGGCCATGTGCATGGGCAAATACAGGCCACCGGCAGCCCAGGCTTCCCCTCAGAACTACAGAGATGCCCAGACTTTTGCTGGAGCTGAGGAGGAAATGGTGCTTCCACATCACTAGATGTCTCATAGAGGAATCATGGTCAGGCTTCGCGAACGAAGATTTGGGGAGGGCTCTACCCACGTTTGTTACAAGCGCACTGGTGGCTGAAAAGGCCAATACGAGACAAGCACGTCCGGCTGCAAAAGGCACAGTAGAAAGACTCCTTAGGTGGTATATTCTGCAGGGCACGATTCTTTCTGCATTGTCTTTTCTCCTCGAGAGTGATCCTGTGTGCTTTCTCAAAGGCATCAGCAGCGTTATAGATGGTGTGTCTCCAGGCCTCCCGATTGGAGGCCACTCTGGTCTACTCATAGAGGAATATACAACAAAAAAAAGGTCATCAGTCCTCTCTTCTCTTCCAGTTCAGCTGCAAAACACAGCTGTGGGCTCTCTGTCCACATGCTTAGAAATGGGCCCATAATTAGAATATTTTTTAGAAGTTCCCTCCATCAAAAGCAAAGGAAAACATATGCCCAGCCAGAGCAGGACCAGCCTGTGGCAGCAATGACTGTCCCTTCAGAGGCACAGCAGTCACCTCCAGGCACGGCACTGCCACACAGCAGCAGGATTCTGACTCTACTGGGACACTGCTCTGGGGCTGTCTGGCATCTGATGCCCTTGCACCCAGAGGTAGGCAGAGCTTTGTTTAGTTCACTGAGCAAAGGGACTGTCAAAGCAATCAGGTTGTTTTTATTGTGAGGTGAATGTTGACATAAGGACAACAAGCTGCTTATTGAGTTTTCGTGTTATATTGGTATCATACCTCAGGTAGCATCGCAGTGTGAGTTGCTTGCTATTGTTCATGGATGCTAGTGAGGGGCTTTTACTATTATTATCTCCCATTTTATAACCATGGAGCTACTTTCACTTTAATATCATATTTAGATTCTGTGCTTTCAAAATAGTTGCTTCAGTATCTGGCATTGTCACTAAAGTAAGGTATTTTGGATGTTTCCCCTGGGTCTGATCCAATTTTTTCCTGAAAAGTGTAGCAAGCGCCCCCATCCATACCAAGGCAGCTCACAATGGAGCTTTAGTGCCTAAGAAATTTTGTAATTTCCTTCTTTTAAAAATCTAGCAGACAGGTATAGTAGATAAATGCTTTATTCATGAAGTTCAACAGATAAAGATATTGTTCGTTTTCATATTAAAATACCTCAGAAACCTCTAAGCATGGCCGAAAAGAAAGAGCTAAGCATTTTAATGTCAAATAAAAAAGTGAATACTGTTTAGTTTGCCTCTGGAATAGAACTGCTTGGCCCACAGCTCCTCAGACAAGGTCTGATGCCCTGTGATGGGCAGTGGGCTCTGCACAGCCCTTGCAGAGCAGCACCCAGCAGAGTAAAGGGCTGCTCCTTCCAGAGAATCCAAAGACCCTGGAGATAAAGTTGGCCCAAAGAAGTGGATCCAAACCCAGAGCGCTCCATCTGTGCTTCCTAGTTGCCAGTCAGGAGATGAACTGCAGCTTGGCAGGCAGAGTTGCCCTGTGGCTGGGCTCTGCTGAGGACGGGCGGGCTCAGTGCAAAGGTGGGGCAGGCACTGGTACTGACCCTTGGAATGTGAATTTCTCCTCTCCGCTCAAGCCACACACGTGAAGGTAAGCACTGCCTTGTATCACATTGGCTAAGGATTAAGCACAAGGGGACTGTGATCCAGAACAAAGTCTCCAGATGTTACTCTCAGAGAATTGCAGTTGCTGAGCTGAAGGTGGCCCAGCCGTTCCCTGACCACTTACAGGGGAATACTGCCCAGGAACAAGGTGAAACGCTCAAAGCAAAGCAGAGCAGGTGGACCATCACCAGGTAAATGTCTAAAGGATATTTTCTAATTATTCTACTTCCTTCTTGTATTTGCTGTACCTGCCCCAACACTTGCATACAGAGCGGGCACCTCACTGACTGCAAAATCTGCTGGGAAATGGGTGAGCTGAAATGGCACTGCAGCTGCCTGGGGGCTCAGGTACTCACCCATCCCTCCCTCTCTGTGGGAATACTGAGGCTGCAGTCATGCATATTCAATGTCAGTGGTTCCTAGAAAATGTTCACTTTGAAAACTTTTTGGATCTTCTGTGCTGCAGGAAAGCTCCTTAGCGCTTACCTGGCTGTCTGCAGGCTCTTCAGCTCTCACAATGGAAGCATCTGGCTCTTTGAAGGACTTTTTCCCACAGCGAGTTTCCTTACAAGTTGCACAAAGTAAAGAAAATTAGAGCTATGCTTAATTTCTCTCTTTTGATTTCCACTTCTAGCTAGGAACAGGGCTTATTTGCAGTCCTTCTTTTAAAATGAGCACTGGCATGTTGCTAGTTACTGCCCTGTGCAGAGCACCTCTCCCTGCTGAGATTGTAATTCATGGTCCTTGCTGTGGGTGAAGTCACACCCTATTTGCTTCCTTATCTCTCCTTGTTCAGCTCTCTTTTTAGCTTTCCTCATGAAGCAGCATTCACATCACTTGCTTTGAGCCTCCACATTGCAGCCGTCTGAATGAGTCACCCTGGAAAGACAGTGAGAAGCAAAGTCTCCCAGAAAGTGACTGATCTGATCTAGGTCCTCCTTGGGTTTGGCTAACTGCACCTTCCAGTGAGTTCACTGCTAAAGGGAGCACTGGGCTGGACAAAAACACCGATTTCATCCACCACTTCCACAGTGCAACTGGTGCATCCTCCAGCATGCCTATGTCCCCAGCACCTCCCCTGCAGAAGCACAGGAAAATCAACAGCTGCCTTCCTTTGGAACTCTGCACCACTGCTTTAATGGCACATTAAAGTCCACTCTGGGGACTGTGCACTGGAGGGAGGGACATCCCCCCAGAGCCCTGGCCCACTAATCATACTTTTTGTCACAGCAAGGAAGGATCAAGCCAGGACTACCACCTCAAGTGGGCTTCTCCCAGTCTTTCTGATCCATAGCTACCAGCAAACAGTGTCCATAGGAAAACACTGCATGACAGTGAGCAAGTCTCCACTGCAGAGGTTCAGCCACAGCGTGCCAATGTGCTGCTCAGTCTGGAGTGTGAGTGGGCTGGACCTTCACCCTCTTCCTCTGCTTCCTTTGCTAGACTCTTATTACATGGTACAAAAAGGTCAGTCCATCGCTCTCTCCTGCTGATGTGAGAGGAACCACAGTCACAGTCTTCTCAGATGTAACCACTCCACTCTCTTCCCATGCAGACCATGCAGACCATTAAGCGGTGTTCGCTTTGAGAACACAGCACCCTCTTTATCCAAAATAACAGTCAAGGCCAAAACACTCCCTTTTGATCCTAATTAGCTGAATGCAGGTGCTACTGGCTTAACTTGTTCCCAAAATGAAGATATTAAATAACACCGTTAAATATTATTAAATAATAATGGCCCAGAGAGTGAAGGATCTGTAGGAATTGTTCTGTCAGCATCCTCTACTCCGGAAATAAATTTTTTATCACTATAGCAGACATTCTGGCATAATCATGCAGAAACCCGAGCCTGCAACTAGCCATGCCATGCCAGAATATTGATCTGTTTCAAGGAATCACAGTTCCAGAACAGGTATTTTCCAGGTGTTGCACAGAGTGCTACCCAGGAAGGATGGAGACAAATCATTGGTGTGGGGAACTCTGAAGCCATTCTCAGCAGCAGCTTCTCTGAAATCTATGGATACATGAACCAGAGAAGAGTCAAGACAACCTTGCTGTTAGACAAGGGCTATGACTCTGTGCTAGGTGTGTCGGGTTTGCTCTCCTGAGCAGCCAGGGTGCTGTCACTTCAGATGCGTTAAAGCAAATGGGAGCTGTGGGGATGGACAGATTATGCCACCAGCTATAGAAACCAGCTCTACTTGCCTGTGAAAACTTTGCTCTGAGCAAATAAAATGCAAACCAGCCTGTTTTGTGTTACATGTTCACTAGGACTATAGCGACTCTTAACAAAGCTTGTAAATGGCACTGCGGGTATCTGACAGGTCTCTGTTACATCAGTGCTGCTGTAGTGGCAGCATGTTATCAGTGTGATAAAGCATATTGCGAGACTTGTCTGAGACAGAGGATTATTTTGTTTATTTCACTGAATTATTAATCTTTATTTCAGTGAATTTCTAATAAGCTACTTACACTTTTGCATTTGCAGCTCTTCATGCTTAACATAAATATTTGCTTTCCTTGGGGTGACTTAGAATCACAGAATCACAGAATCCTTGAGGTTGGAAAAGCCCTCTAAGATCATTGAGTCCAACCATTCACTCAGCACTGACAAGGCCACCACTAAACCATGTCCCCAAGTCCCACATTCACACATCTTTTAAATCCCTCCAGGGGCCGTGATTCCACCACTTCCAATGCTTGACCATCCTTTCAGTGAAGAAATATAATATCCAATATAAGAAATATAATATCCAATCTAAACCTCCCTAATCACAACTTGAAGTCATTTCCTCTGGTCTGGACACTTGTTATGTGGGAGAAGAGCCTGACCCCCACCTGGCTCCACCCTCCTGACAGGGAGTTGCAGAGAGTGAGAAGGTCCCACTGGAGCCTTTTTTTCGCCAGCATGAGCCCCCCCAGCTCCCTCAGCCACTCCTCATCAGACTTGTGCTCCAGACCCTTCCCCAGGTCTGTTGCCCTTCTCTGGATACACTCCACCCCCTCAATGTCTTTCTTGTCATGAGGGGCCCAAAACTGAACCCGGGATTCGACTTGTCAGTATCTAGAGGATGAAGAGATTTTCCATGAGAAAAGCAAATATCCTTCTGAAAGAGGAAAGGAGTTGCTCTTCCAGGCTGCAGCACAGAGGCTTTTACTTTTGGTGCAGATGGTCCTTACCCTGTCCCTGTGGTGACCCCAAGAAGCAGTGCAGGAGAATGTCTCACCCCAGGTAGACTCAGACATCCATGAGCTGTTTGTCTCCATCTGAGGTGCTCTGGACTTGTTTATTGTCAGCAGAAACAAATATATTTGAGGGGGTCACTTGGACACTCAAAAGCAGTTGACTGAGCAGCCCTTAGGAGGATGGACTTGTAGTGTCCCTCTGGTAATGGAAAGGATTATATAGAGTTACATGAGATTAATCCCACCTGCTTTAGAAGGTGCGAGAAACAGATCCAATAAAGAATCTTGTATCTATATATGATAAATCTCTATCAAAATGATGCCTTATATCAAGACATTTTCTCTGCCTGACTTTGGAGTGATAAACCTTAGAGCCTTAGTGCAAAAGTCCCCTGGGCAGATGGAGCTCGTCAGCCCTGTAAGGCCATCCATCTAAGAGAAGGTCACTCTAAACAAACCTACGTTCTGAGGACCTCACTGCCACTGTCCAAGCTTGCTTGGCCCCGGTAGATGAACCTCAGGATTAAAGGGTGGGCTCAGTTCAGCGCACACTGTGTCTCACCTAAAAAATCCACTGCGCAGGCTCGAAGGGTAAAGACCTTTCCCAAATCTTCGCTCGCAAAGACTGGCCATACTCAGTGCATTTCATGGGGTTTCCTCTGTGAACTGAAAGGGAAAAGAATTTTTACATCTCAGTTGTTTTGGGATAGTAGCAATTTAAAATATAATTTTTCTGCACACACTCTCAATCCCTAGGGTGCAACAGAGCCTCACTCACACAACATATTCCTGATTCACTATGCTGCCAGTGGGGAATATTTCCTATACAGCACAAATGTGTTCCCGCAACAAGCCCATCCTTTGTCCCGACGGAGGGTAAGAAAGGGATGATCAGCTCAAGTTAAATATCAAACTCTAGAGCATTTCACTCTCAAACCATCAGCCTGTGAGCTTGGTAGAGAAGGAAATGAAAAGAAGGCATGGTTATGATTGCTTCCTGTAGCTATAATCCATGAAAAGTTTAGTGCTGGTCATTTAGGAGGTCTGGGTGCCACAGCATCCTGCATGGTGTAGACAAGTCAGAGTTAGATGTAACAGGCCTGTGATGAACAGAAGGACCATCCAACAGGGCTCTGGAGGTGTTCCCTGCTCCCTGTGCCTGCTTCACAGGTACTTTACCATCATTTCAGTGGAGATTGCTTTTTCCCTGTCGTCGTGGCTTAGGAATGGTACTCCCCAATTTAGTGTTCCCACTGAAATACTCCAAACCATTTGCCAACTTACTCCCCCCTTTCCCAGGGTGGAGAGGAAAATTGGAGGCACAAAAGCTAAAGATCAAGATAACAATTTACTGGAAAAAGCAATGGAATAAGAAGCAAACACTAACGGCAACAGTATTAAATAACAGAGGATACAAGAGAGATGAGCGATTCACAGGTGAGTGCTCACCATGCAGAACCAGCACTACCCTGACCGCTCACCTGCCACCGACCCACCAGAAGGGCACATTCCCCCTGCCCCCTGCTAGAGCCTGAGGGGGTACAGAATAAACTCAGAGCCCTGGCCATGCCCCTCCTGGCTACTGCAAAAATTAAACCGTGTTCTGGCTGGAATCAGGACACCTGTTGAAGCTGCTTGTACAGCTTTTATTTTGGAGTTTCTTCAATAATTATTTAAAAAATTATTTTAAATAGTAAAAAACCAAAAGGCTTTTAACCAGAAAAATTTTGGTTTTGCCTGAAGTGTGATTCCTGAGGTGTTGTGGGGTCTGATTTTAATGACTTTGTCCTATGTATTGATCAATGATGACCCTTTATTTAAATGCAATACTGTAGTTTATCAATAGCCACGGGGTATCCAAAGGCCGTGTCTCGACTGAGCTGGAGCTGTTGCGTAATGACAGAGAGGAACAGCTCTGGGTTTGGAAGGGGAGGTTGCACTGCACCAATGGGAAGCAAACCAGCATTGGCTCAAGTCAAGATCTGATGATGGAAGGAGCTCTGGCACTCAGTCCACTTGTCCTGGAGAGCAAAAAATCCCACCACGCAAGCATGGGATTTGCACCTCTTTGTGAAATACAAAACACATAGAAATGAGCAGCTGGTGGGTATGGAACTGTCCTTGTTTTATCCTGAGAGCTGTCGTGACTTGTGGGGAATCTGTGCTGCTGTAAATCAGGGGAATTTTTGCAACGAACGATTTACTAAATATTCCTTAAAATCCATTTATATTCCTCATGTAGTTGCGCAGCTTTCTTCCTACTGTTAAATGGAAAGGTGGAGATTGCTGCATCTGTTATTTAAAAATATATTGACCTTAAACTTCTAATTATACAATGACCAATTTACAGAAATGTCGTATTTTAATCACTCTTCAGTATGCCAGAAAAAAATCACTTTTAAAAGGCAGTTCTAACTGCATTTTTATGTCAGTGGGTGAGGTGCAAGCCAACATTTTGTCAAATATGCTAAACTTCATGAGAAGGGAGTTGCATATATCTTTAACTGTGTGAGGAAGGGCCTATGTGGAGAGGGCTCTGGCATAGAGCAATTAGTGATGGCAATGCTTTGCACAAGGACTACTGGAGGGAAAAATTACAAAGCAACATTCATCACAGCTTTGTATTCTTCCAAATGCAATCTCCTGAGACTTTGGCTCAAACCTGAATGGCCATTCACTATACTTTTCTTTGTTATTTGTTTATGAAGTTCAGAATTACAGAGTAATACAGATATTAAGGGATTTCTGGTTGCCACCTGGTCCAACCAGCCTCCCTAAAGCAGGACCGCTTTGAAAGTGGATTAATTTTGAAATTAGTTTAGGTTGTTGTGGGCCTTTCATGTTTAATATCTTTAAGAATGGAGCCTCCACAACCCCACTGGGCTCCTCTTCCATTGCTTGATCCCCCACTTCAGAGTGGAAACGTTTGGTATTTAGAAACCTGGAGATAATAATTCATATCCCTCTAAAAGCCTGAGCAGACAAGTTCCAGCCTATTGGCTGCTTCACAGAACTGAAAAGTCAGCAAGGCACATAAAGTAGTTAATGAGATCAAAGCCTCCTGCTCCTGAAAATTTCAATCAAACAAACAGCCTGTTTTTCTCAAGTTTTGGAGTTTCTTTGGCACAAACCAGGTGACACTCATCCCCATTATCAGTTTTCTTGGGCAGAATATGTTAACCCGCATTTGATGTGTTCTCTAAAGATGCCTGATGCAGTCTTGAATCCATGTGCTCTGACTCACTCACTGGAAGAGGCTGGGGGAGTTCTCAGAGCCAGTTGATTTACAAGCTGCTTCACTTCTTTAATTGATCTTATTTGCCTGTGAGCACATTTGTATGGAAGATAAGACATCTTTGATATGAGATCCAGCTCTACCACAGCAGAGAACTTCCCACATGACCAGATAAAGTCAGGTTCTGGTATGTTACCCTCAGCCAGTCACTCTGTAATAATGTTTTGCAGGCTCTGGGATGTGTAGGTCTGTCTATGTGCGAGGAAGGAGAGTCCACATTGGCTCCCACAGGATGTGGTTTCATGGGAGCAGAACAGCGAGCTGGCAGTTGAAGCTGGCTTTGCGCTGGGTTTTCCTGCACCTGACACTGCCAATCCATCTCCTGGGATAGTATCTCCTTTTTGGGGGAGCCACATCCACGCCACATCCACATTGTCCCAGCTGCAGTATTTGTCTGCACAAGATCCAGAGCAATTCCCATTCCACCAGCCAGCTTAGACAGGTGGGCAACACCTGCAAAAGTTGTCTGAGAGGATGAGGAGACTGTTGGCAGTATGTCACAGGGTCTCCCCTGCCATGTGGCATCTTCTCAGGTCTCTCTGTCCATCCCTGACTGTTCCCAGCTCGGCACTGGGATCACTTGTGTGATGGCTGGTTCCACACTGGGACAGTCCAGCCTCTCTTTCTCCTGATCACTTCATGTAGAGCAGCCTTTGCGAGCTGCATCCCTTCATTGTCCTGCTTTCCTTCAGCACCACAGCTTAACTTTTGCAGGCCTAGGCAGCTTAGATGAGAGACCCCAGTACCTATAATGCTGCATCCAGCTCTGGGGCCCCCAACACAAGAAAGACATGGACCTGATGGAACAAGTCCAGAGGAGACCACTAAGATGCTCCAAGGGCTGGAGCACCTCTGCTAGGGAGATAGAATCAAAGAATCTCAGAGTCATAGAATCAGACAATAGTTTGTTTTGGAAGGAACCTTGAAGATCATATAGTTCCACTGCCCTGTCATGAGCAGGGACACCTTTCCCTAGGCCAGGTTGCTCAGAGTTCTGTTCAGCCAGGCCCCTTGATGGGGCATCAACAACTTCTCTGGGCAACCTGTACCAGGGCCTCACCATTCTCACAGCAAAGAATTTCCTAATATCTAATCTAAAGCTACTCTCTTTTACTTTGAATCCATTCCCACTTGCCCTGTCACTACATGCTCTTTTAAGTAGTCTCTGCCCATGTTTCTTGTAGCTTCTTCGGGTACTGAAAGGCTGCAATTAGGTCACTGTAAGCTTTCTCTTTCCCAGGCTGGACAGTCCAAATTCTCTCAGCCTTTCTTTGTGGGAGAGGTGCTCCAGCCCTCAAATCAACTTGGTGCCTCCTCTGGACTCGCTCCAACAGGTCAATGTCGTTCCTGTGCTGAGGACCCCAGAGCTGGGCAACCCCTGTTGCCCACACTGTGGGATCAGCCCAGGGCACGTGGGATTCCTGGGTGCATTTTGTTGACATTGATCCTGGGTCTGACTGAACCAACAGTCCCTTTCTCGCAGAAAGCTCCAGTTCAGTTTTGTGTAGACTGGGTTTCTTTGTTTTCTTTGGGACAGGTCTAAGCCTTGTCCCAAGTTCACACCCAGCAAATCAACTCAGCTGTTTGGGAACTCTGTGAACTACATGTGCTTGGGAGTGATGATGCAAGTGTTTTAAAAAAGCAGTGTGTTAAAGACAAGGAGAACAGGAAGATAAACAAGGTGCTCTGTAATGAGCAGCTGCCCTTTTCCAAAATATAGCTGTAGCACTGACAACTTTTCATTGTTGATCTTTCGATTCTGAAATTGTTTGGAGAAATAGCTGCTCCCCACATCTGCTCCCCACACTACTCATCATGGGTGACAAGCTATGTGCCTGCCTGTACCAGGTATCAAGACCTTCTCACTGCTCTGACCCTGTAGTACAGAATTCCCCAAAGTCCTTCTGGATGCTCCACAGGTGCACTCTTTAGTTTGAATTTCCCAACACAAGAGACCACACTCAGTCTTTTCTATCTCAGAAATTATTCTCAGATAAAACCTACTCTTCTTAAGGTCGGAGAATTGCATCCCAACACAAATTAAGTGAAGGTGATCACTTACCTCAGCAGTTTCAAAAGTCCGATCTGTCATTTTATATTAGAGATTTAAAACTTTCTTACCTTAATTTTAAGATCTATGACTCCAAATATAACAAAACAAAATGCAAGTAACTGGGTTTAAGTTCTTTTGAGTAGTCTCATGTGACAGTGATGGTAAATTGTGAGGATCTCTGAAAGGTTTTACAAAACCAACAAAAATGATGGGACAAAAATGGTCTAGAGAAGAACACAGCTGCCTTCCAAGGAAAGGCTAAAAAGGTTAGCGTTCCAGTTTGAAGAAGGGAACACTGAGGAAGGCAGTGTAATCAAGGTTCACAAAATCCTGAAGGCAGGGGACGTGCTGAAAGCTGAGCTGCTCACCCAGTCCCACCCAGTCCCACAACAGAAAGCCCTCGGGAACTCACCAGAGATGGGTGTAAGACAACCATGGAATTATGGATGCAGTAGGTCAGGTCATGGGCTATCCTGGGCTGCCATGGGAGCTGCTGATTGCTGCAGGTCCAGAGAGGAACCGCACAAAATCATGGGAAACAAGTCCCTGACTGGCTGCTGGAGGGTGAGTGAGGGGTGGTGGAGGTGGCCAGGCTCACACATGTCCTGCTGGTGGCATCTGCTACTGGAGACAGCACGCTGGGCTGGGTGAGATGACCAGTGGGGTTTTTCCAATGAACTTACATTTGGGGCCTTCCCATTGGTTTCTTTCATTCATTTTCCACCTCTCCATAAAGGGAACATACATTCTTCTTTCGCAGGGCTCTTGGCAGAGACTGCCCTTCCCTCTCAGCCTCAGTCACAGGCTTGCGCCTGCTGGACTCTGCAGGTCAGAAACACCTTCACTGGGCAGTGGAGGTGTCATTCCAGGAACATTGTAGTTGGCAGCAACGCCAGTGCAACACTGCCTCTGCTTGGTTGCTCCACAAATCCATATAAAAAATAACCATATTCAATAACCAAAATCCAAATTAAAAAGAAATCCCTCGGCATTGCACAACTGGACTACCCCAGCATTGCAGAAAAGGCAGTGTGGTCACGTCGGTGAATGACTGAGATGGAAAAGCTACTTAAAAATTGACCAATTGAGTGCTTATGAAATTAGGCTTTAAAAATACTATTTATTGAATATGCTTATCATTTAAATTATAATTAGGGCAATTAAATTTTATATTTTACATAATATCTCACTAATTACATTTAATATGCAGATGAATCCTCAGGTCAGAAGACAAACAGGGAAAGTTTTTGGTGCAAAAATTTTATAAAGGAAAATATTCAACATCTGCTTAGAAAAACCAGCTTCATGTAAAAATTGACCTAGTGTCCAATGCAAGTAATTAAAGTGAAAGAGCTAAATAACCCCAGAATATAAAGCCGAACATTTCAAAGAATCACAAAATATGCTGACTTGGAAGGCACCCACAAGAATCATAGAGTCCAGCCCTTAGCCCTGCACAGGACCATCCCCAAGAGTCCCACCATGTGCCTGAAAGTATCCAAATGCTTCTTGAACTCTGTCAGCCTTGGGGCTGTGCCCACTGCCCTGGGAAGCCTGGTCAGTGCCCAACCGCCCTCTGGGGAAGAACCTTCTCCTGAGATCCAACCTGAGCCTGCCCTGACACAGCTCCATCTGTTCCCTGGGTGCTGTCCCTGCTCCCCCAGAGCAGAGCTCAGTCCCCACCCCTCCTCTGCCCCTGCCCAGGCAGTTGGAACTGCACTGAGGTCTCCCCTCAGTCTCCTCTGCTCCAGCTGAACACACAAGTGCCCTCAGTGTCCTCACACGGCTTCAAATCCAGGCCCTTCCCCATCTTGATTGCCCTTTGGACACTCTCTAATGGCTTAATGTCTTCCTTATATTGCAGCAACCAAAGTTGCCCCAATGTTGCAGGTGAGGCCGCCCCAGGGCAGAGCAGAGCAGGACAATCCCCTCCCTGGCCCAGCCAGTGATGCTGGGCCTGATGCCCCCAGGACAGGGTTGGCCCTCCTGGGTGCCAGGGCACTGCTGACTCGGGGCCAACTGGCCACTGAGCAGGACCCCCAGGACCCTTTCCAGCATCTCATTCCCCAGTCTTCACGTACACCCAGGGTTGCCTCCTCCCAGCTGCAGCACTATGGCTTGAGAAAAACAACCCAGGTTTACTCAAAAGTATAAAATATTCTTAAAATTTCTTCTTGACTTTCATCAGGGTTAAATTTTCAGTCAGATGCTTGGGCTGACCACACAGTCAAAAAAATGTTCCTTTGTGAGATGAGATCTGGGTAATGGTGACTCATAGTGGGTGATGCAGGGTTCGATGTAGACACATTTTGGGGAATGATTGTGTTGGCTCTTCTGTCTTGTGCAATGCAGTCATTGTGGGAACTAAGACATTACCATGTGTCTAGGATGTCTGGAGAAGGGATGACTCTGTAGCACAGCCTAAATTTGTCTCAGTGGGTATGCGAGCACATACAGAAAAAGCAGTTGACACACATGACACATTTAGGTTTTCTATACATGGAGTGGGTGAACTTTCCTATCTGTGCACGCAAATATAGACGCAAATGCTGCATCACAGGGCTCGCCTCTGCTAGAAATCTGCTCTGAAAGACTCAACTGACATGCAGGAGTTAAGCAGCAAGACTTTCACTGGCAAAAGTATCACTTGGAGCCTGGCAGGCTTCAGCAGTCCTGCAGAGCTACCAGTTGCTAAAACTTCTAGGGCAACTCTATAAGACTAGACAAGTGTTTTCTTGGTAGAATAAGGCAAAACAACTGAAGAAGACACAAGCAGAAAAGGATCGTATGAAGAGAAGAACCGGATGGAAAGGATACTTGCGGTTCTGGAGACTGTAGAATCCTGGAGCACTTTTACCTTGAACAGCTCAGGGAGCTGTTATCAGCTAACTCTGATGGGTTTTCCTTGGACCTGGCTGAAGACTGACCTGCCATCCAAACCTGGGTGAAACTCTTTTGTGACTATTCAGGGAATGACATCTAAGCTGTCACAAAGGCCGGAATTGTTGCTCCCTTCCTATGCAAAGCACCATTCACCTGATCCACAGGGCTCTATGAAAGCCAGTGGATGTCCTGTTTAGCCACTTACTGCCTTCATCAGCAAATTCTTATATTCCCTCCTGGTACCAGAGACACACTCCTACTCTTTGCATGCAAATCTTCCTATTCATATCTTCATTAAGTCAATGTATTGCAGTTGATGCTCAGAAAATAGGATGGTTGGAGGACTAATGATGTCCAAGGTGGTCCTGTTCTTTTCTTTCTTGGAACTTTATAACTACACTCAGAGAAGTTCTCAAATGGCTTCCAGAGGTGATATCATGGATTTCCTAGGGAAAGATTTATCATCCAGAACATTTTAATAATAAGTCACAAATTGTTATTTAGTCTGAAGATTGTAGGGTCAAAAATCACTTATTTTGTCTTAGATATGTGAAAGGCTTTCCTCTGTCATTTGAGTGAGTGGCCACATAGATGAATTAGCCTGTCAAGAGGTTCCAACTGGAAAAAGTCCCAAGCAAAGCATTACAACTGGTCCCTTCTAGCTCCTTCCATCTTGTGACTACATGATCTATTAAACAGTCCTTTACAGTTTGTGGAATAAACTGACAGACATTTTTGTTAGAATTTCAAATGTAATCCTGAATTTTCAGCAGCCAAATGCTCATTATAGCCAGCTCAATGAGTGCTTTGGGTGGGTATTTGCATCAGTAAAACAGGAACACTGAAAACTCACAAGGAGAAAATAGAAAATGGCACAAAATGCAAAACACAAGTGCTCAACTGAGAATGTGCTGTTTTCATCTAAAGCAGCACTCAGAACCTGTCTTACTCAGCATTTTCCACCCAAATGAACCAGTGCCACCCAGTCAGCATTTCTGGAGCTCTTCCTGCTCATTCTTGAAGCACTGTATGAGGCACCCTGTTCCTTGGACTAAAGATGTGATGTGATGCTTCAAGCAGGCCACCTAAACTTCATGCCACCACCAAAGATGCCGCCTCTCTCTTTGCATCGACACAGGTGTCACTCTTCTTCTGCCATGAGGCAGGGAAGGAGGCCAGCCTTTCAGTCTGCCAGTTCAGCTGCCCACCCTGACTTGCCAAGGATTGGAGAGCAGCAGTGGTGGTTGGCTACTGTGGTTTAGGAATGGTATTCTCCAGCTGAGTACTCTGGCTAAAACCACTGCTTCCTTTCCCCTCCCCACCCCTCCACCTGGAGGCCCAAAAGGCAAAGATGACAGGTTGGGATAAGAACAATTCACTAGAAACAGCAATGACATAAGAAAAGGAACAGTAACAGCAACCACATTAATAACAAAAGGTATAAGAAAAGAAAAGATTCACACAGAAACCCTGCAACAATAAACAATACCAGACAGACACACATGCCCCCTCCGCCACCCCACCACATTTTCTTGACCTTCTCCCCTGAGGAAAGTCTTCCCACCCACCCCCTGGCCCCAGCAACGATCTGAGGTGGTATAAAATAACCTCTGGGTCCCGGCCATGCCCCCTCCCAGCTACTGCAAAAATTAACCCTGTCCTGGCTGGAACCGGGACACACTGCTGGAGCACATCCCAGCATGGAGTGACAGGAGGTGAAAACAGCAGTTGAATTTAATTGGCTGTGGATGTATGTGGTAGATGAGAAGACAGAATGGGAGAGATATGCTACCTGGAAAAGCATAAATGGGATCTAAATGGACCTGTTACTTACTGGATAATTCACCTGCCGGACTGACAGTTTTTCCCCAGTTTATTGTTGTGTGTTTATGAATTCTTATGCACCCCAGTTCATTGTTAAATTTTATGAATTCTGTCATACCTCCATATTGTCCCCAGTTCTCCCTCAGATTTTCCCTCCAAAAGTTATTTGTCACCCTGTTTTCCCAGTTTTCCCGCTCCTCTGCCACTGATTGGTTACAGTTTGCCACAGTGCAGGGAGAGCTACCATTGGCCCATTCCCCTAGAGACCCGGGAGTTCCACCCACCTTTCTCCTGTCTCCCTATCACACTTTTCCCTGAGTTGTCAATCTCTTGCGCCTCCCCAGTTTAGAATCCGCCCCTCAGACCTACTTTATTTAAACCCTTGTTCCCCCTAAATAAACAGGCATTGCTGCACGAACCCCAACTGTGCTGTGAACCCTTATTGCAGTGCCCGGCCCCATTTCCCTTCCCCCCTCGGACCGTGGCAGATGTAGCAGTGACAATTCTGAAGATTCACAACAGTGAGAAATTGCTTACTCACATGTAGTTTCTGGAGGCAGTTTTATGAAAAAAGGAGCTTTGTGCTTACCTACAGCTCAAAATCAGATTATGGAACTGCGAGTAGAACAGAGAACAAAAAGCAAGTGGTAACACAGGTGTCACCACCTCTTGTGTGCGCACACCTATGCTGGGTGGAGTTCTGGTACTTCTATTTCAAGTGACTACAAGGTCTCTGAAAGGAAGAACAAAAGATAAGCATGGGAATAGTTTTGCAGTGAAAGGAGAATAAACAGACCAGGAGCCACCAGGCTGGAAGGATGAATAGAAACCATGGATGCAGAGGAGATGGTAGGGAAACAATTACTTACCTTCTCACAGTTCAAAGACTAGAGGCCTTCCCCTAAAGTTACTCTGTAATGGACTTAAAACCAAAACCAGGGACACTTGGTCAATTTAGTTATAAAACTTTCTGCTCCGGAAAAACAATGTTAAATTTCAAAGGAAAAAAATCCGTTAGATGAAAATAAATTCTGTAGCTGAATTTGGTCCCTTGTTCAGGGTGTTCTCAAAGCATGGACTTCCAGAAGTTTCAAAAGGACATATGGGATGAAATTACCCTCTCTGTACCATGTTTCTTGTGTTGTTCACTCCAATAAATGATGCCTGCCTTGGTCAAAGAGCTTATTAGCTAGTGGTCCTTAATGCTGTTTTCATCTTCTCACATGCAGCCTCTTTCTGGTTTAGGCCTCTCTGGGCACTAAAACAACACCTGACTCCTTCCTGGTCTGGAAGAAAGGTTGGGTGGAAGCCAAACACCTGGCACCCAGTTTGTGTGCTCTTGTGCATCCCAACAAGCAGGCAGGCAGCGATTCTCATGTGCCAAAGCAGATGGGTTCCTTAACCTTCCCAGGGCTGCTTTCCTCCCTCAGGAGATGATGGAGATACTAACTCTCCCCCTGCCAAGGAAATACTCCTGATGTGTTCAAGAAAGTAACCCCAGTAGACAAAAAAGGAGTGATGGGAAAACTCCTTTGCTGGTGAAGGAGTCAGAGGAAGACCCCAGTGTAAAGCCAGGTGCTTACACTCAGGGAGCTGCACAAACCTACGAGCTGATAAATCATTTGTCCACCCTGGATCACAAATTACGGTCATATTTAAATGTGATTCCAGTCCACAGTGTTCTTAGAAAATCCTGTACAAGGAGACTGTCTGGGTAGCAGGGTGAGAACCCTCCTCTCTGAAGAGTCTCTTCAATGAAGGCTAGTGAGCAGCTCCCCACTAACCACAGGTCCACAACCATGCTTGGTTTTTCCTTTGACAATGGGCCACAAGCTGAGACAACAGGACATTTGCTGACTTTGCTGCCAAGCGAAAATAAATTGTCACTATTTTTTTTTAGTCATGAAGTCTGTGAATCGCAGAGACCTTGAATAGAGTCAGCTCTTGGGGCTCAGTCTCTCAAGGTGGGTTTCTTGAGAAATGCATGATTGATTTTCCATGTCCTGCTGTGCAGTATCAGGGTAAGAGCAAGGTATTGACCGAAGGCTGGGAAATGCTAGAAAGGTGATTATAACAAATCAGTCTTGGCAAGTCACTTCAAGAAGTTCTAAAGACAAACTATCAGCTAGTCATTATGCATTATCTTCTTCCAGTCTGGCACAGAACAAGTAGTTCTGTGAATGTACAAAATGAGCTGGCAGCATCACACAGTGCATTAGGAGCAGGTTCTGGAGAGTTTTATTTCATCTGACAGCATCACTAACACAGGTTCTCACCTCTGTTTATGGAGCCAAGGCTTTTGACTGAAAGATTGGGCACTTCTGTCCTTAAAATCCATCCAGCTGGCAATCTTTAAGGAAATAGATTCAATAACTTATATATGATTCTTCCACATACAAGAATGGACTAGTCTCTTCCTCCGACAGGAAATTAAAGAGAACATTTTGAGACAGGAAGATGAAGGCCAGACCGTAAGCAAGATCGAAAATGAGATGAAACCACAAATGATGCATGTAGCAGTGCCAGAGGGAAGAACAATGACGTGCAACAGTTAGGAAACAGCAGCCACTGCTGTGTTCCTCCTGTGCTTCAAAAAAGCCCTGGGAATAATGGTGGCCCAGAAAGGGAGAGAGCAGCAACTGGATCATGTTTTCGGGTACATCAGAGAAGAAGAGAAAGGCTCAGCTACCTTACCCAAAGACAAAGATGACTCAAAATCCATGGGTTGAGGCTCATGGGTTTAAGCTCAAAACTCATGTGTTAGTAGCTCATAACTAGATTTACACTAGGAAGAAAATGTGCCCTGCATGAGATCAGTGAGTGCCCAGAACTGCCTCATTGCAGGGCAGACAGGAATAAACAGCACAGCTGATTCAAGGGTTTGATGAAGAGGAGGATGCTTACTGTCATCTGTGAGTTCTGGGGTTGAATGACTGATCCTGGAGATCCCTTTCAACTCCATTTCTTCTGACGAGAAGTGTGACAGACCAGATTTGAAAACTACCCTCAAAAGAACTGTTCACCACCAGCAGTCACTGCTTTGGAAATTTCTGCTGGATCCTATTTCTTGTGTAGCATCCTTGATATCACCTCCAGGCCGGTGAACAACTCTTGTCAAAAGTAATGGGTGGTCAGAATCTGTGTGTTTCAACGACCAGAAGTGGGCAAAAGTTTCACGTGTTCAAATTGTGTTAAAAATATTTGAGAGAACTGATAGACAAATTTTCCAGTAGCCTGACTAAAACCTGTATCTATTTTCTGTAGTTCAAGTATATTTAAGCAGTACCCTTTTCCTACACCTCTAGCTTGATGTAAATCATTTTAACTGCAGAAAAAATACTGATTTCCCTTAGCTATTCACCCAGCACGCATTGTTAAACTATGCCCAGTGATGGACAGCTTTAGCTACCTGTAGGACCCACAGATCAAAAAATTACTCAAAGCTTCTTTTCACCTTCTTGGCCCCCTGGCAAGCCAAAATCGAATGAAGGGTTATTGCAAGAACTGTAACAAAGCATATACAATAAGGGGGTTTTTTTGCTTGCAAAGTTTTTTTTATTGTTGGTAAACAGGGAGCATGAACCCAAAATAATCTCTAGACTGCTGATGAGTGCAGGAGGCACCACAAACTGCCTAGTGGGAAGAAAGTTCATTCATTCATATTCAAATTACTCAGGATTTCTATTATCTCTGCAGAAAGTTCACTTAGGTGTTTAAATCTAGTTATTGTTTCAATGTAGTTTATTTAGAATATGATTTGAACAAAGCAATTTGAAAAAAAGAAGAAATTGTAATTTGCAGAAGTTTGTCTTCATACAGGCACCTATCATTTGAGCTAACAGAGTGTGGCATCTACGTGAGTTTTCTGCTCCTGTTTCCAGCATCCGAGACAGGCACTTCATCAGATTTCATAGTTCTGGGCTTCCTGCTTGCTGCAGGATTTGGAGAAGATGCTGCTCCGAGGGCCAATGTGCAGAGGGTGATCCCAGCACAGGCCATGCCCTCACTGACAGGATCTTAGCACAGTGGGCAGGGCTGGCTACTGGTAATGGGGTCCTTTGTGACAGACATGGCAAGTGGTGAATGTTGTCCAAGGTCCATCCCTGGAGTCCAGGTCAGGAACAAAAGGAGATGGAGCCAGAGACAGAGCTGGTGTCCCAGGAGCTGGATGCTTCAAGCAGGGCTTGGACGAAAAAGTAGGTCACTAAGGACCCAGTCAAGTTCTGAACACCCCCATTGATGGAGCCCCCACAGCCTCTGTAGGCTTCTGCCCTTGTGTTTAGCCACTCCAAGTAAGTCTATTTTTGGTTCTGCCTGTTCAGGCTTTCCCTTTCTGCACTTGTGCCCATTGCCTTTGGCTGCTGTTCAGTCAGAGCAGCCCGTGTGTGGAAACACTACCTAGTGAAGCAAGGAGCGGTGAGAGGCTCAAGTAGATTGGAGAGGATGAAATTTTCTCCCAGAGTCACCACTTTGCATGATACAAAACTTTTCCAGGACTGAACGTCCTGGCTCTTTACCAAGATGTGGGATGCCAGAGTTCTTCCGGGAAAAGACTGGAAGAACTTACTGCCAAAAAAATATTTTCCTGTATTGCTGGAAATTGCTGTGGAATATATTCAAGCTGTAGAGACCAACTTGAAATAAACAAGATTATGCAAGGCATATGGAACACACAATATTTCAGAAAAGGATCAGCGTGAGGATTACATGAGATACATACAGCTTTAACATGGGATAAGAAAAATAAAGTTCCTAGTACAGGTAACTTGAATTTTCCAATAATATCATGTTGACAGCTTAGATTTGGAAGTTGAGCTTGGAAGCTTGAGTATGGATAAGAAAAGCCCTACCCAAGTTGTTGTTCCTGGAGTTGTCTTCGTTGCTATCTTTGAGCAAAAGAATTAGGTCAACCTGTCAAACTCAGACACCCACAGTAAGCACTTAGAGTTATGACCTCATTTCTTACAGTGGAACAGACATAATTCCAGATCGTCCACAGAAAGTGAGCTTGCTCAGCCTACTAATAACTTCCTAGAAACCTGGAGGAACTATAATTCTACAAATCTATAGATTCTAGGATTCTATGAACTAGCCTTCAATTTTTATGAAATAGTCAGATCCTGAGTTGCACCACTTGCTAGAACTCTTGAATGTTCTGACAAGGGTCCTAAAACTTCCTCAGCAAAGGGTTCAAAAGAATTTGAAAACTGTTTTTCTTTCATCCTGACAGTTCATCAGATGCAGGGTGGATTTTTAGTGGTAACTTAGTACTAAATTACTTCTAACACTTATATACCCTAAATTAGCACACGAGCCTGTAGGTTTGCATCACTCTAACCACTTACATGCCCACACGCATACACTACCTCCCAGCCCCTGCAGTGATGCACATGCAGCACCTTTTTTATGTCACAGTCTTGACAGGATTCACAAAACAGACTTCCCTCCCATCTCATCTTTGGGACATGATCTGTCAGATTTTGAATTAAAAAATAAGAACAGCAAACTCCACCATGTGTGGCTCCCATTC